AAATCCTTTCTTTGTGAAGGATTCAGGGATTCGTCGGCCACCAAGGTAACTGTGCCTCCTTCAATTCACGTCCCCATTTCGCCTCTATCTTCATCTACTGCACTTCGATAGATAGAGTCAGACTTCCTTTTACGCATGTATAGCTCATGATTGTCAGTGCACAACACCAAAATGCACTTATTAATCTTGGATTCTTCACTAAAGAGTAGAATTTCTTTGCAGTCTTTTCTGCTGGTTGGATTATATCCTTCTAGTTGTGAAAAGAGAGCTTTCGTATTTCCGGCCAGCCGAATGTAACTCTGGATCCAGTTGAAGCTGTCGAAGAGACCAGGTGCGGTTCCTCAGTCTCATGCTAGTTGTCATCTGAATCGGTGGTCTCGTGAGTGCCTTCTTGTAGTACCGAAAATGTTTGAATGGCTGGCGCGAGATGTGTACCGAGGGGACGCCACTCAAATAAAGAGAGGGGCAGTGTAATGCTTTATTTATGTGACCACATGCCGTTTGGCGGTCACTTTAGGATTTGTCTGGCTCTTGTAGACGTGGAATGGCCTTTGGGCCATGCTCAGTCTTAGTTGCTTTGTCCTTTTTGGAATGCATGTATCTAGCTTCACTTACTGTCTTCGTCCACCCGGTTCGAAGTCTCGAGACGCTACATACAAGTGTGTGAAATGTGAAATTGAGCGAAACAATCCCTTTTTCCTTTTTCACGATTTGCCTTTAGACTAGTGTTCCAACACCTAGACTTGGACATCTATGATAGTTGGCAGAATTGCATAGCCCCAAATCTTGTTGTTAAGCCTACTAAAACCCAAAATCCTGTTTTATCTACCGAGAGTTAACAGTGCAGATAGTGTCAGTCACTCTTCCATGAGTCGCATAGGAGTTTGTGACTGTTGCATGTAGCTCCTGAGTGCTTTCTTACGGCACCAATTACGTTATAGTCTCCGGTACTGAAGGTTTATTAAATGGGGGATGAGTGACGTCGCCTAAACTAGGAAAGAGACTTTGTAGCACTTTACTTAATTTTCAGCTTTGGTTTTGGCTGCTTGCTACCAACGCATTCCTATTTTTTTTCCCAAAATGTCCGTATTAAAACTGAATAGCATGTCTTCTAACATCTACAGAAAAGTCACGGACACTGTAGTTTTCAAAAGGGACTAGGAATTACACTTGTTACTTTGAGTAATTTTGCTACTGATATGGCTTTGCTACTCTTGGAGGCGATATAGGAGTTTATGTAGCAATCATGCGCAAACAGGAGTCAAATGCTCCTCAATAAAATAACATACACAGCGTACCCTGCTTGAGTAGACTTTTGATGATCACGCTTTTCTCCAGCTAGGTACCACAACTTAGGTTTAGAATTGCGACTTGTTTGAAAAGACAAGTTGCACGCCTAGTACCCAAACCTTAAAGAATCTTGATATCGAGAAACTGTTCCGGTCACAAATGAACAACAATTCGCCTTGCAAAACAAGTTATTTGCCTTACCCACAAACACTAAGAGCGGAAACAAAAGTTAAGCATTCGGATCCTGTGCACAGACTCTGGCGTCATTTTAGGTTCTTAATAAAGTGAGACGAGTTCTCGATCCAGTCGTGAAGTCAGCAAGTGCTCTATTTAGAGCAGATAAGTGGCAAATAACTTCGCTACAATGCTGTCCGCATTCGTACTACTTCGACACGCAGTCTGCTTTTTCGATAATCGATTGTTGCACCTCGAATAATCAATAAGCAGCTTGCGCAAAGTTTACAGTTGCACTTGAAAAATTAGGGGTTAAATGTGTAGACAGGAGAGTGGACCAAGGGAAAACAGAAAGCACTGCCTTTGATCTTTCAATGGACGAAACTCCCAGCCCATACTTCACACCGGCAGCGAATGACCTTCTGCTTGCCGTATGCCGACAACTGGAGATAAATGAGAAGCAGAATGAGGTAATTGCTGACCTGCGTGCTCGTGAGCCCGGAAATGAGTCGGCGCTGGTGGAGGACCTTTTCAATCCACACATCGACAAACTGAATAGGGCTAGTCATGTGGTAGCTTTCTACAAGACCATCAGGTACGAGCGCAAACTCATCAAGATTCGAGTCACTCCGGGGACCTACATTCTTCAGGCTAAACGTCGTTCTCAAGTGTCAGAGCATTCTAGTATCACCACTGAGAGTACAGAAACAAGTGCCACTTCGGAAGGCACATCTGGGAACTCTTCAACGTATATAGAACTGATTGCAAAGGTAAAGGAACCACTTCCAGATTTAGAGGTGGACGATGGGAATGTTGGAAGGGTAGTCTCAAGGAGGTCAGGAGAAAATGCAGAGGAAAGGGAAGCAGAAGGTACTGAGGAACAGGAAGAAGGGGAAGAGGAAGAAGACGAAGAAGAAGAGGGAGCAGAAGAGGGGCAATACGATGCATCACAATACCTGGTAAGACTTCCCTTGGCATTTATTTATATTTATATTCAAACAAATTATCGCTATACATATGCATGATTGCTGGAAGATGTATTCGGTGTTTACTGGAATTTCACTAACGCTGCCGTTCTGCAGCTATTCGCCCGGACGTACACTAGGGTAAACCTTCATGCTACTTCCATTCCCCTTACCGACGGGGAGGCCAAGGAAATGGGTGTGGAGCGGTACGTCTATGCTCTGCGTTGCCGTGACCTCGAGACGTCACTCAGTCCCCTTCAGCGTGATGAGACACCACCCATTACCAGCTTCTTCGAGACTGGCGTCATCCTCTTTCCCACACTTGTCTCTTCCAGAGCAGTTGTTATCAAAGTGAGGCGGCCTCTGCTCTTTTACCGTATATAACACTAAAGTTTGGTGATCAAGCAGACTAAGTATACTATTCTGGTAGAGTTCAACTTAATTTCCTGTTTTACGAAAACTCTTTCGGATGCTTCAATTTCTCCATTCAAAAATTTAAGTGGTCTAAGAGTACCCAAAAGCAAACCAAAGTAGATAATTAATCCTTTTAAATCTTTTCCTTACCTCAACGCTAGGAGATGAGTCAAATTGGACATCACATAAACCCTATGTATCATACATGACTTTTCCACTTCTTCCGCCAGGTCTTCCAGCCTCTACTGGCCTACTTATCGCACAGGAACGCCAGCATGAACCTTGACTTGGAGGACGATTCGAGCGTAGATGACGCTTCTGATCCAATGCTGAGGGCTGGGGAGCGCCATTTTTCCACAACCGCCAATATGAACACCACCGAAATGGCCGCAGGTGAGGGAGAAATAGTGACGCAGGTTGCCACTGGAGAGGCGCAGCGTCTGCGCGATGAGTTTGCTGTAAATCTGCAGAAATTTCAGAGTGTACTGACTGAGACTGAGTCCGCTCTTCATGGAGTCTTTCACCTACCTGCGCCTGACTTTCCGTTACCAACGATGCAACAGTGTCTTGCTGGGCTGCCGCCCGAGATGTTTGAGCCTTTTCGGAGTCTGATCGACAATTGGAGTAAGTTTGTATTTCAGCTTGCAAAATGAAGGCTAAAATAATTATTCGTAAATAAATCCTTAGGAAAGCTAAAAAACGTGAACAACCAGCCTAAACATCCCATATGATGGGCCATATCTCGAGAGTAACCTCAATGTAATGGTTAAAGCTTTTCTTTTGGCTATCTTCCCGCCATCGTCTTTGGCGTTTTAAATTTTGAGTGGCTGACACAAAAGCGCTGAATGTCAATCCTTTCATCCCCCATGTCAAACAGACGCAGCCATTGACACGACGATCAACGACCTGAACAAACCTCGACCAGTGACTGTAGGGCCGTTGGAGGAGATAGAATACTGGCGGCACCGCTGCAAGACCCTCACCACTGTGAATGAGGCGCTGCGTAGCAAAGAAGTTATAGAAGTGGCGGAGCGTTGGAATGCTCTCCCTAACCCTGATGCCACGCACTTCGATCGCGGTGCTGAAATTCGCGGGCTAATGGCGGAGGCTAAAGATAATGCCAGGTGAATTGCATTCAGTCATTCGTCTAATCACATCAAACGACTTCTTTTTACTTTCGTTTGATCAAGTTCGTTGTTTAGTTTTGGTTACTTGTCTGTTCATCAGATATCTAACGAAAAGTTGCCTATATCATTCAAATGAAAGCAGAGGGAAGCGATTATACCTAGGTCCTATTTATCAACAACCCTTATTAAGAGAAATTTTTCGTTAATCATGCAACGTATGGATTGCTAAATCATTTGAAGGTTCCTCCTCCTGGTTGAACGCCACTTCAAGAACGTTCAGTTTGCCCATGGCTTCAACATGGTGGCGGACACAGTTCCAGCAATGCTTCAATCCCTTCGTCTAATCTGGACTATCTCAAGGGGCTACAATAAAGATGAACGAATGGGTCCTCTGCTGCAAAAGATCGCTTGGTCTCTCTATGACCGCGTCATTCGAGTCATGCACATTCCCACTCTCTTCAGGTTAGACACTTCAATTGGTGTTTTCTGATCAATCTTTCTGAGTGTTGTATCTGTCCAGCCATTTGGTTGACTATCCATTTAGCCAGCAAAATGTCCATTTGCCCGTTCATTTGGCTTGCAGCCAGCCCTCCTGTCTAGCTACTTGTCCATTAATTAGCCTAGCCGTCTGATAGACTTTTCACAACCTATGCAATCCTCTACACAATCGTGCACGCTAACACTAAATTCTACAATTAAGTCGCTCTGTGCAAGGCATCCTTCGCGAAACAGGAGCAGCAGTTCGGATGCTCACCATGTTCGAGACCACCTACATGCAGGAACGCCAGCGCGTGGAAGCCACGTCACGGGACAATCGGTGGGAGTTTGATCGCAAGCTCCTGTTCGGTCGCATTCACTATGTTACACGTGTTCTACAGGACATCCTTGACATGGCAAACGTAAGTCTGTCGTGTTGTTGATGTGGTTTTCAATGTGCTTTTCTCCCATACCTACATCCTCCGCTCTTTGGTTTGTAGTGCGCAAAGGAATTTTATCGCATGTTTGGACCCGAATTGAAGAATATAACAGGGCAGAGCAAATCGTTGACCGAGGTCCTGCGCTTGGTGGATAATTTATTTAATCCACTCAAAAACCCGGTGAGTGACTAGCCTCAAGTTATCAGACTAAAAGTGAAGTGAAGTGCAAATAGCATGCGTAGAAGGACCAAAGTGCTGACTGTTTGAGCTGTCAAACCCTTCTTATAAGCATCAGCCGCAGTGCTTATATCTAATACTTGATTCGATAAATTGTCTGTACAGTCAGAATGCTCAGTCTGTGCAAGAACCCAGCACAAATGAGCATCTTGCTGTGCTACAATAAGCTTGTTTAGGAGTATATGGAGGGGTCAGTATGGGTAGGTAACACGGACATACTTCAACTCTAGTGGCTATCCATTCAACCATCCTTTCTAACATACATTGTAGAATATGAAGTGTCCTTTCCTTCCCCAAAATGAAAAGTCCTGGAGCCGCTTACAAGAGGAATTCGCCGATAAGGTGAACCTGATTGACGCCAAAGCAAAGAACTTCATCAACGACTACTTCGCTCACATCCGTGGTGCAAACAACGCCTTCAATCTACTTGAACGCTTTAAGGCTGTGAAGGCTCGTAGTGCCATTAGCTGCCTCCTGAAGGACAAGTATCGCGATGTCCTGCACAGCTTGGGAGTGGAGGTAACAATCCCTATGGGTTTTATTAGAAAATCCAGGCTGTCGTTAGACATATTTTGATATAGGAAGGTGTTAAGGTGAACGTTGAAGCTGTAGAAAGTATTAATCACTTACAGAACTCTAAATCATGCTTCTAGGATGTTGTAAGGCATTTCTACATTAGAGCTTAGTCGTCTGGGAGGGTATATGTATCGTTAACTTGCTTATCTATGTTCGCCTATGTTTATATTGCTGCAGTTGTCCCGAGTAGAACGTCGTTTCATGGAAAACAAGGACGACCCAGAGCCCGGACATTACATCCCACCAGTATCGGGAGCCATTCGATGGGCACGTTTGACCCTAAATACCGTCAAATACAGTATTGTACGTTTTCTACGCTCGCAGCCAGAGCTGTTTGAGGAGCAAGAGACTGAAGCAGAAGCGGAGGTGGAGGAAGAACTGAGCCAGAACCAGGGAGCAGGTGATCAGGAGAAAGATGATACAGAAGTAAAACGAAAACGCGGTCGAAGTGTGCGTCAACAGTACATTGAATTGGCGCATAAGCTTCGAGATTTTGAAATGGAGAAATTTAAAGGATGGGAAAACGACATTATCACCTCATTAAGTGCTCGACTTGGCCAATCCATCCTCTTCAAAAATCCCACTGTTGTGCCTTTTCACAAGGTAAGGAAATGAGATTCTATACCGTGCAAAATAATATGATGTTGTTACCAGCATTATGGCATTTTAGGCAGCAGTGAATATCAAACCGCCACCAACGTGGTGGGCAGGAGTTCCACCTCCTGATCTGGAATTACCAGTACCGTTTACATTTCGTGATTCAGCCACCTTCGAAGATAACGCTTTTTTGCGTTCCACCATGGGCCCTTTCAATGCGGTTCCCTCTATAGGCCCCAATGCTGTTGATATTAACGACGACATGTACAAACATCACTCCACGTTTAGCCTTCAAAAGCCTAGTGTATATGAAGAAAATCTCGGATACGGTAAGTATGGCTACAAAATAATCAAATTTATCTCTTTCTGTAGAGTCGGCTCCTGTTTATGAGGTTAATTTCGATTCCAACATATGGGCCACGATCGCAGAGGCAGCTCGTCTAGAGTTGTTAGGTGTGCGTGTTCCTGAAATGGCCAGGCTCCTGGGTCTGCGTGTGAGTTGATAGTCAAATTAAAGCTCCAAATCGTATTAATCATTTAATGAACACTCTTCATCTCCATTCATATCCCTCCTCTTCTTTATGCTTCAGCGTCGCTACTTCCAAAACATCGTACTACGACTCCAGGACATTGTTGACCGTTACGAGGGTGTGCGACGCAATTTAAGCCCCATCAAAGTCGCTCTCCTGCGGCTTACTCTTCAGGACTTTGTTGCTCACTTTGATCGTGGAGTCAACTACCTAAATTGGGACAGCTTAGCGATTGGTGACTTTCTGGAGTTGGCTGAGAAAGTGAGAAACTGGCGAATTTATGCGTATCAATATTATCCGTCCGTTAGAAACCAGTTGTAGCTAGTAATATCAAGATGTATATTTACTTTTTTGCGCATTTTGTTTCTTCACCAAATGAGTCACGAATATTTAATTTCTGAACTGATTCGGACCTGAGCATATCTGATACGCTCACAATCCTCAAATCCTTCATTTGCCGCTATTTTCTTTGCTTCCAGAAAATCCAGTTATTGGAAACACAATTTAAGGAGATAAATAAGTGCTTCTCCAGTCTGGATCAGGTCTGTCGCAGGATAAAACGCATGAACCTGTTCAAGGAGCAGTCACGTGCAGTGCTAGTCTCAGCCAAAGAGTTTCTCGACTACGCCGAGACGGCGCGTGAGAACGACATGGAAGAGTTGGCCACATCCACCCAGAACACCCTTGCCAATGCCTTGGGCAAGTTGGAGGAGGCTCTTTTTGACACCAGCACGCATCGATGTGAACAAATGGCCTCCGTCTACCAAATGTTTGAGCAAAGATTGTTAGAAGCACTTGTCAACGTGAGTGCATCAGACTGTACCATCTTCAGAGCTCTCGATAGCCATTCATCCTTACTGGATACCCTTTGATCAGCTTGTTTTCAGCAACACCTCTAGATCCTTCATAACTTCATCTTCAGATGGTTCTAAGGAATGTCTGGAACTTCGTCGATCGGCTGGGTGGGTTGAAACCGATCTTTCATATCGATGTTCTTCTCTCTAACTCCGACATCTTACTCTACCCCACAACGGGAGACCTCTACAAATGGATGATCCAGACCATTCACGGCTGCACAGATAGGTTAGTCTTCACTAGTCTACGAAAGTTGGCAGCTTCAAGTAGCTAAATGGCTCCAAAGGCCAGCAAAGTGGAACAAGGGCCTCCGGAGCCCATGCAAATTCTACCGTGCGTTTTCTGCTTTGTCTCCTCCTTCTGCCATCTGAACTTATTAAGATGTCGTCAGAGGCTTATGTGAGGCAATTTACTCCATGTTTTCTAATAGTAGATTGCTTTGCAAAGGTTAACATTTTCAGGTTTATAGTGGTTCAAAGTTGAGACTAACCATGCTGAGCGAAAAACATGATAACTTGAAATGTTAGTGAAATTGTTTTCTCCTTTTGCCTCCTTCTCCGCCTCCTCTCACTTCAGCACGCGTTTCTTTGTACGATGGATGCGTGGCACCTGTGTCATCTGCCCCTCCACTCGAGGTGGGGATGGGGAGCGAGTAGTAAATATTAACTTCTCACAGGAGCTGGATCGCTGCTCTCAGATCTACGAACCCGAGGCTGTCTTTAATGAGAGGGTGATCAAGCTTAACCGAATGGTCATTGACTTTCTGAGGCGCCTTGTGCTCTATACCATGCTCTGGCATCAGGACAAGGTATGATGAGCTATGTGACGTAATCACACATAATTTGAAGCTTCGAAGGTACTGAGAGAATAGGGGTAGTCCGGCATCCCATAATTCTTCCAATTACTCACGCGATTTCCAGATGAACGTGGTGGAGAAGTGGGTGCATAAGAAACCACGCACAACTCGGGACTTCGAGATCCGCATAATGACATTGCAGAATTGGGCAGAGAGCCTGTCTCGTATCATTGGGCCATTGCGAGTGGTTCTGGCGGGTGCGTTGGGTCTGCGAATGGGATCCTTCATGGACAGTGTCTACACCCATCTCAGTGACTGGCTGCGCATCTATCTGCGCTTTGTGCATGAAACCGCGGAACAGAAGTATGCCAGTGTCATGAAAATCCTGCTAGTAGGTCTTGCTGTTCTTTCCCTCTCTCTCTTGGTCTAAATGAATTATCGAAGCATGATAAAAATGGACGTACCAAGAAACAGAAAGCTTTTATTCTTCTCCCACCATAAAAGTGCACGGACTAGATGTGGATTCAATCTCTGGGCATGCATGAATGGTATAAGGATTATTGAATGCAGAAATGTGTTGATGAATAAGTAGGTAGATTTAACAATGCTAATAGAGTAGATACCCGATCGAATGCACAAGTTTTATGCTAAAAATTGTAGGAGAAACGAGAGGTGCTAAAAAAGAAGCCTGTCTCACTGGTGCAAATGAAGCAGCTGCTTAGCGTAATGGGCGAGTTGGAAGGCGGAATGTGTGAAGTGGTGGATGAGTGCGTCAGTGACATTACAGAGCGCTACCGCCTCCTCCGCCAATATGGTGACCCTGAGTACCTTCAACAGGTGCCTAAGGAACACTGGAACTCTCCCAACACATTACGTCGCCGCTGGAATGCCATCATTTTACGCTCTCTAGAAATGGCCGCCAACATCGCACCTATGAAATCTCAGTTTGCTGTTGGAGTGCGTGATGCTGTGCAAGACTTTAAACGAAGGGTTATGCTCTTTGTTGAGGAGTAAGCCTTGAATTCCGAATGGTTACTTTGATTTGTTCGCATTACCTACTCCATCATTTTAGACTTTTCCAGTCCGTATCAGCATTTTATTTTGTGTTGTTACATGTTCCTATTGTGGTTGCGAAAACTCTTCACGAAAACCAGGCTGATCCTCGATTACATTCTGCAGCTATAAGCGATCGGGTCCAGGGACCGAATCTCGCAATCTCGACAATGGCCAGAAGAGTCTTCTCAAGTTCACCAAGTTTTGTGATAACCTGGAAACGGAACGAATAGATCTGCTTAGCAGCGAACGCCTCCTTGGACTTCCAATCTCCTCCTATCCTGAGCTGAAGACCATTCAATCAGAGCTGCACAAGTTGAAGCCAATCTATGAACTCTACAATCAACAGAAGGTGAGTGTGTGATATGGATGCTGAAATCTATTTTCCTTCCCCATCTAGACTGCACGACAGGATTGGGCTTTGGTGCTCTGGAAAGACGTCAATATCAAGTCAATTCAGACTGCTACTCAGGAATTTATTGACACCTTTAAGGCAGCACCCAAAAAGATTCGTTTGCTTCCCTGTGCACGGAAGTTGTACACAGACTTGAAAAACTTCCAAGAATCACTTTTGCTGATTGTTTACTTGAAGGACGAGGCTCTTAGAGACAGGTTTGATTATATTTGTATTGCTCTTGCAAATCGTTAATGAACGTGTCTGAATTAGTCTGTGCATCACGGATAGGCACTGGAAGCAGCTAATGGAGAAGACGGGGATCAGCTTCGATATTGACCCATTAACATTTACCTTGGAGGGTGTCTTTGCAATGGAACTACATCATTACTCCGAAGTGATCGCAGTTATCGTAGCTAATGCTCAACGGGAACTCGTCATTGAACAGGTGAGGCAGTTCACACTTAATCATCCCTTTCCATGTATTTGAACAGAAGTATTCAGTAGATCAGTCGCAATTGCATTAAGGGATTCATTAAAATCTTTACCATCAGTGAACTATTTTTTTTAAACCTGAAAAAAAAATGGCGAGGATATTAGGGTGCAAACTTTTAAACAAGCAATCAAAAGCTACTTAATGATGCAAGTTTCCACCATGCATCATTAGAGCCTGGAGGAGATACAGCGCATATGGAAGGAAATGAAGTTCACCCTCACCATGTACACCAAGTGCAAAGGTCAGGCGTGTCCGGTACTAGGAGGTTTGGACGATACCACCAAGGTGTTGGAGGACAACATGCTGAGTCTGCAGTCGATCAGTGGAAGTCGCAATGCAGCACCTTTCATCAATACGGTGCGTCAGTGGGAGAAAGACCTAAGCACTGTTAGCGACATCCTTGAGGTCAGTAATAGTCTCTTCTTCTTTCCTTTGTGCTGTTAAGGAACGGCGTCTCCAGCTGGTCTTGCATATCTGCTCTAGAAATGGGTGATTGTGCAGCAGAAGTGGATGTATCTGGAAGTAATCTTTGTGGCTGGTGACATCGCTAATCAGTTGCCGAATGAAGCAAAAAGGTTTCAAAAATTGGATGCCACATTTCGTAAGGTAAGTTAATAAGAAAATATGGCTCATTCTTTGGTTAATTTCTGTCATTTTGAAAAAAAAGTGTGGTATGGTAAAGGTATAGAAGTTTGGAAGAGCCAGATGTCTAGTTGTATTAGACGGTTGGACTCCTATATTATCGCTACAGCTAATGAAGGAGGCGATGGAGGTACAGTTTGTCATGAAGACTTGCCTCGCTGATCGTAAGTTGGACACGCTGACGATGCTGCAGAACGAACTAGAGTTCTGTCAAAAGGCGCTTAATGACTATCTGGATGCAAAGCGCAACGCTTTTCCGCGATTCTACTTCATCTCTGATGACGAGATGCTCTCTATTCTCGGTGGCAAGGAGGTTGAGTCCATTCAGGAGCATATTGTTAAGGTTAGTGGGAGAGGAAGCCATTAGAAGTGGTTTTGGGTCCTTGCAGTTCAGAGTTAAAAAATTCAAGGGCTAGAGTGAGACATCTTTTCCTTCAAAACTATCCTCAGCATTCTTTTTAGTACCTTATATATGTAATGCGCTTGACTGATGGAGTGATAGCCGACTTTCATTACTAACTGTCCATTGGATTATCAATCCACGCTGCTGATGGAAGAGAAAAAGCATGTCGGTGATGATAATTTGTCCTGTTATTTCTTCAGATGTTTGATAACATAAAAGGTTACCGGTACCGTCAAGATGGAAAGAGCACAATTATTACAGCAATGGTGTCCTGCGAGGAGGAAGTGATGCCTCTGAGTCGGCCAGTCTACGTGGTGGGTAAGGTGGAGGAGTGGCTTCTGGCCCAGGAGGCCGAGATGCAGCGCTCCAACCGCCTCATTACCAAACGTGCTCTCTTCTACTACTGTTATAAGAAGTTAAGGGTCGAGTGGATGCTTGATTTTCTAGTGAGTGATTTATGCTCTCCATTGATAAGTCTTTCTGCCTGCTCAAGACTTTGACCAGAAGGCAAATTAAGGGCTTTGTTCGACAAAAAAATCAAAAATGAAAGCACAATAACAAAATTATTGGATTCTAAATCGCAGATCCTTGAACTCTAAGTTCGGTTGGTCCTTCTATTTCGCAGGGCATGGTTGTACTGGCCACCACGCAGATCTGGTTCACCTGGGAAACTGAAGACGTCTTCAAGCGCATGAAAACAGGTCAACGCCGTGCCCTGAAGGACTTTAACCGTAAACTCCTCGAGCAGATCTCCCAGATAGTCCGTATGGTACGTGGCTACTTGGAGCCCAATGTAATGAAGAAGCTCGAGACTGTGCTCATTCTTGATGTACATGCCAAAGACATCATTGAAAGCTTCATTCGCGACAGCATCCATGCTGTTGAAGAATTCGAGTGGGAGTCCCAGCTGCGATTCTATTGGGTCCGCGATCAAGACACGCTGAAGGTGCGTCAGGTCTCTGCAGAGTTTGACTACGGGTACGAGTACTTCGGGATGAATGGAAGACTGGTCATCACGCCACTCACAGATCGAATCTACCTGACTTTGACCCAGGCGCTTTCCCTGTGCTTGGGTGGGGCCCCAGCGGGCCCTGCAGGGACAGGCAAAACGGAGAGTACGAAAGACTTGGCAAAGGCAATGGGACTTCTTTGTGTGGTGACCAATTGTGGAGAGAGCATGGACTATAAGGTATTTTGGGAGGTTTAAACTCGAAATTTATGGGTTGGAAATGTGGGGAATCGAGTTCTTTCGTGAAAACCAAAAAACAAAAATTACATATCAGTGAAATCACACTACTTAAACAAGTCTAGGAGTGAGTAAAAGGATACTAAAAAGAACACTTGTGTGTTTATCCGAATGAATCATGCACTGAGAGGATGCGTTTAGAATAAAAATAAAGTTAGAGTTATTCTGTGAGTATCTACTCACCTGTCTGATTCGATGAAATTAGTCCTTCGGAAAGCTGATGATGGGTCTCTGCCGAGTGGGATGCTGGGGCTGCTTCGATGAATTCAATCGCATTGAGGTCTCCGTCCTCTCCGTGGTCACCTCACAAATTCAGGCCATTCAGACTGCCCTTAAGGCCAAAGCCACCACTTTCCAAGTTAGTTTACCCATTCATATTAAAGCAACAATCCATTCCCTTTTCGCTTACCATAACATTTCTGGCTGGAGTTTTATGGCGCATCATTTTCACTTATCTACTGCACTTCATTAAACCAATCATTCATTTTGTGCGATCCTCTGATATTTTCAAAGGAAACCCTTCAGTAATTACCTTCAATGTCCGAGCCGGATAAAGTTTGTCAGCAGTGTTTTGCAGTTCATCTTCCAGAAACCACTTTATTATAATGCTTCAAATCAAGATACGTTGTTTACTATCTGATTTTCTAAACAGCTTCTGACTCCATCTTGCCATGATTGAATCCTTCTTCAGCTAGAGGGTCAGGAAACGGTGTTGAACAGTCGTATCGGCTACTTTATTACGATGAATCCAGGCTACGCCGGTCGTACAGAACTCCCAGAATCACTGAAGGCCCTCTTCCGGCCTGTTGTGGTAATTGTGCCTGATCTCGAGTACATTTGCGAGATCATGCTCTTCGCTCAGGGCTTCCTCACTGCGAGGGTAGGTCAATTTGATGGTTTTTTTTCGTACTGATTTCTTTCTTAAAGTCACTTAAACAAGCATTGGGATTAATCCAGACTCTAAACTTAAGTAGCTATACTTACCTACTCTTCCCCTATACTTACCCTCCGCTGCAGTGAGCTAAGAATAACCACCTTGTAAACTAGAGCGCTCGGCAAAATAAACTGGGCAACTGTAATTTTGTCTGCCTCCTTCCCTTTTCTACAGGAATTAGCTAAAAAATTGACCACCATGTACCGACTTGCGAAGGAGCAGCTATCCCAACAATATCACTATGATTTCGGCCTACGAGCTCTTAAATCGGTGCTCTCCATGGCAGGCGGAATAAGGCGTGCCGACCCGGAGAATCGGGAGGACAAGCTGCTAATGCGCGCACTGAAGGACACTAATTTGCCTAAGTTTGTGCATGAGGATGTGCCTCTCTTCATGGGCCTTGTACAAGATCTCTTCCCTGGCGTGGAACTCGTTCTCCACAGTTCAGATCCCGAACTAATTTTAGCAGCCACCACAATACTTAAGTTCCAGAGGTACTCCATCATTGAGGAGCAGGTAGGCTATCAGTTGAGAAGGAGGAAAGCTTGTTGTGGCACAACACATGTTCGGTAATCGGTAAACTTCTGACTGGCTTTTGGAGTCGAATGCATTGCCAATGGTTCACCAATTTTTTTTGCATTTTAAAGGAAGTTTCAACTAAACATCCCAATTTTAAGCAGTAGTTTTTACGGAAACTCGCATAAATTTCTCTCCTAACTGCCAGTGTTCCATTCGGCTAACGAAGTCTCGTACCACATCATGCTTTTTATATCTGGCTATAGTGTATGTGAATCTTCGTTCCGTTTATAGTAGGGAAGGTAAAGAAACTCAAATCTGCCGATGAACTTCTCAGTTAAGTGGATGTGGTACCGAGTTCGTGGATCATTGTACCTCGGATGACTCATTTTTATTGGTCCTGCGTTTGGTAGCTCTGGGAAGAAATACAGTCAACATTTAAGCCTACATTCCATTTACATAGAACTGTGAGGCTTACCGACAGCTTTTGGCACGTCCTCACAATTTGCCTAGGTCTTATTAACGTTTTACGAACGTTGTCATTTTCTGATCTTTCCTTTCAGCTACAAAAGGTGATTCATCTGCGAGACACACTTGCAGTCCGTCACTCAGTTATGCTTGTCGGTCCAACATTGGGAGGAAAAACGACTGTGCTTAACACTCTGGCTAACTCTCAACGAATGTAAGCAGTGAAACTGTTTTCCTTCCGCTAACGCAACCACTAGAAACCACTGTTACAGAGCTCAAAATGTGCAATAAGACACATTAATCCGATGATTGCGCAGCCCTAACCTGTTGAAACGCTTTTTGTAAAGGGTTGTTTGATGATTATGTCGAGGAATTTTCGATTCCCATCCCACAATTTTGTTTTGTACCCACCTGCGTATCACGAGATGCTGGTGAAACAGCATGAATGCGACTCGAAGATGTCTGCTTTACGAAACGCGTGCTACACGTTACCGCAAAGCATTCAGAGAAGGCTGAAACGCATCGGCAAAGTCTACTAGTTAGACGAGCATTAACTTATACATTCGTGGTTGGGCTGGTATTGTTCTTTTCCTCACTTTCGAATGTATTCGGAGTTGCAGCATGACTGATAATAAAGGGAACCAGAAGTGGAGTAGAGGTAGATTTTGCCCAGTATAAAATACACTCACTTAGAAATGGCACCTTCACCGTATTCAGACAGAACCGTCTCATGTTTTTCCATTGTATCCTGGCCCGCATGAATCACATTTTGATACTGCGCTGAGGTGGAGACATGTTTCCTATGTTTACGTAGCCATCTGAAAGAGCCGCTTAGACATCCACAAATAATCCTTCTTCTGCCCATTTATCAGAGCAGTTTTATGTAACCATAATAAGGTCGACTGAAACAGAATTTCGACGCCATGCTATTCGGTTGAGGGTAGCTGATAAGCGTTCGTAAACTCACATTTGCTTGCTAGAATGGGTCTTCCTACAAAGCTGCACACTATCAATCCAAAAGATCGTTCGGTGAACGAACTATACGGCACTCTGGATCCAGCTAGTCGCGAGTGGACTGACGGCTTACTCTCCATGATCTTTCGCCAAATTAACACGCCCACAGACCAGAATGAGCGACGCTACATTGTCTTTGATGGCGATGTGGATGCTCTTTGGATTGAGAATATGAATTCCGTGATGGATGACAATCGACTACTTACTTTAGTCAATGGAGAACGCATTAAGCTGCAGCCATATTGTGCTCTTCTCTTTGAAGTCGGGGATTTACGTTTTGCATCACCGGCCACCGTCTCGCGCTGTGGTATGGTCTACGTGGACCCAAAAAATCTCAGTTATGAGGCCTACTGGAATGCTTGGGTAAGCAAGAATTAAGTGGGAGTCTGTTAATTGTTGTAATAAAAGATTGACTCAAATGGTTGCCACTTCTCGAGGTTGAAAGGAGAAGAAATGTGCGTACGTAGGTATGCAAACAAAAAGCCATGAATCCCTAACGAAATCCACTTCTCCTCTTAGTCGCTTGATCAGACGAATTGAAGAATCAATTGCATGTATGTCACTTTGTCTTTTGTGTCTGTTTAGTTAATGAGCATCCATAACGAGAACATCAATGAGGTCTTGGATTTCCTCTTCAAAAAATACGTTCCCCATTTGATGGATCTCATATTTGAAGGTATTGCACCTGCGGGTGGGTTTGGTGGACCCAAAGTTCGCAGGCAACGTCTCTCCAATGAATCAGGTGAGTGTAACGCGTCTCCCAAATCTACCTGTTGCTCGTTCTTCTAAAAACATTTGTCCTGTCAATGTGGATCTGGAGGCCTGTGTCAAAACACGGGTACTACCACATATTTGTAATGAAATGAGTATAATTTTGCATTTATTTGCTACGCTTTCGCCAGGAAAAGATGGCGCACAGACTGGCGGCTCTGCGACACCCGCAGGAGGCGGTGGTGGTGGCAGTGGGCCTGGTGGGGGAGGTGGTGAGGATGCCTCTAAAACGAAGAAGATTATCCATGTGGTTCCCACCAGCCCAATGCACACCATTATCCAGTTTTGCGCTCTGCTTTCCGGTCAAATAGACGAGGGCAGTGAACCGGGCACTGACAATTGGGGAAGGTTGCCCAGTTTTATCGAGGTGGATGGGCAAAAGTCAAAGGCATCAAAAGATGCGACGTTAATGACAGGGGAGCTTGAAATGGCAGGAGAGGGGGACGAAGCCACTATGGCAGAGACAGAGACGTCGCGGACTGGGGCGGAGTCGTCAGTATACACCTTGGTGTCATTAGGAACAGGCTTAGGAACCAGTACAGAAGAAGGAGCTCTCGAGTCAGACTTAGCTGCAAGACGTGCAACAGAAATCTCAGCTACCGGCCTCGATCCTGTCCTTACTTATGATAGCCCCGATGCTCTGGAAGCTGTCTTTCTCTACTGCCTGTTCTGGGCCTTTGGCGCTCCTATGCATCTACGTGATCAAATTATTCTGGACGAAGCTATCAAGGCGCTTTCTGGATTGGGGATGTATGATGAAGGGGAAGGAATGGGTTTCGTTGCTCCTGGTAAGCAATGTTCATCTAAAATGGATTCGTGGAAAATATTCTCAGTGGAAATCGACCAGATATATGTACAGGAACATCAGGCACATGATACTCCTTTTTTCTCTAAATCAAATAGTCTATTGGAGTTTAGTCGAAGGCGAAAAAAAACGAGGCCATTTCAGTGTTCTTATTGTAATTTGGTTTACCCTAGGTGTTATTCCAAGTCACTCCGACTACCTCTTCGACTACATGTTTGATCTGAAGGAATTGCACTGGGTGGAATGGCGCAGTCTTGTTCCCAAGTACATTCACAATACGGCTATGCCCTATCCAGAAATCGTTGTGCCCACTGTTGAGACTGTTAAACTTGAATGGATTCTCAAGGAGATGTTTCTGGTGAGTCTCGATCTACCATTTATCTCCTATCTGGCATATCATTCTTTCAGATGAATAGACCACTAATTATGGTTGGCGAAACTGGCACCAGCAAAACAGCTACAGCCTTGTCCACCATTCAATCTCTGAATCCAGACGTTACATGCTCTCTCGTGATCAATTTCTCCTCTCGTACCTCCTCCAAAGACGTTCTTCGTAGTCTTAACGCCAACGTAGAAAAACGCGCCAAAGGAGTTTATGGACCTATGCCGGGCAAGAAACTCATAGTCTTTATTGATGACCTCAACATGCCACAGGAAGATGAATATGGCACTCAACAACCCATAGCGCTGATGCGAATGATTTTGGAGCGCGGTGGCCTCTTCGAACAGGGCAAGGATCTGGTGTGGCGAGCACTGAAGGATATGACCTATGTGGGTGGGATGGGTCCGCCAGGTGGCGGACGCAGGTCGCTTGATCCACGCTTTGTCTCTTTCTTCTCCATTTTCCACTGCTTGCCACCGTCATCGGACAGCTTGAACAAAATTTTCGGCAGCATCCTCACCGGTCACTTTGCCTTGGGATTCTCAAAGAAATTGCAATCTATAATCGGTGACCTTACAAGCATGAGCATTGAGACGTACTTTGAGATCAAGAACCGCCTTCTTCCTACTCCAGCAAAGTTTCATTACACTTTTAATCTGAGAGATATTTCAAGGGTGTTCCAAGGGATGTGTCAGGCCACTTCAGCAAGATTCAAGGGACCTAAGAAGGTCCTGAGGTTGTGGAGACATGAGGTCCTCAGATGTTTTCATGACCGTCTCATCAACAATGCTGACCAGAATATTGTAGAGGTGGGTGGTGTGATTGTCAAATCAATTCTCACTCTTCTGTTGTATTTCAAGCAGTAGAACTCAAATTTGACAATAAACAAGAGTCACTCAGCTGCTTCACGACTCATTTTTTTACTTAAATTGCTATCCTCCGCCCCTTTGCATCCTCTTCTGCAGGGAATCATAGACAGTATGCTGAAGAAGTACTTCAGAGAGGACATGGATTACGCTATGATGAATCCGATCATCTTTGGTGAATACTGGGCTGCGGGCACCGAGGAGGAAGTAGTTTACTACGAAGATATGCAGGACTTCGACGTATGCAAGGCTATCGCAGAGGAGGTGGGTTTTCTATTGCCTCTGAGTTAAAGAAACTTGGATTGTCCTTACCTTGAATACATCCAAGTCACTCAAATGTCTCCACCTATTTAATCCACATAGTTGCAAGTGGCCTACAACGAGCAGGTGGGTAATCTCAACTTGGTCCTATTCAACGACGCATTGAACCACTTGAGCATCATACATCGAATCCTTCGATTGCAAGGCAGTCACGCTCTGCTTGTGGGAGTCTCAGGTTCAGGCAAGAAAGCTCTGGCCAAGTTAGCTGCCTTCGTTGCGGGACTTCGTACCTTCGAAATCAGCTTGAGCAAGACTTACGGCGAGCCAGAGCTCTGCGAGGACATCAAACGATTGTACATGCAAATGGCGGAAAATACTGACCAATATACTTTCATATTTACGGACACTCACGTTCGTAACGAAGGTGGGTTTGCCTTTTCCCTCAAAAATTGACAAAAATTGGTTGAGGTATGAAGATAACAAAACCTGCCCAAATTTTCCCTCCTCAGGATTCTTGGAGTTCGTAAACAACATTCTCACTACTGGCTGTCTGGTGTCGCTCTTCTCAGAAGAGGACAAAGATGGTGTGATCAACAATGTATGGCCTAAGGCGGAGGCTGCCTTGAGAGCAATCGGGGGCGTTGGGGCAAACGTCACTAAAGAGACGGTATGGAAGTGGTTTGCTCGTGATTGCACCTCCCGTCTCCACATGACTCTCTGCATGAGCCCCGTGGGAGACGATCTGCGAACGCGTTGCCGCAACTTCCCTGGAATTGTTAACTGCACCACCATAGATTGGTTTTTCCCGTGGCCTGAGCAGGCACTCTATGCTGTTGCCTGTAGCCTCATTGATCCCAAGGTTTGTACCAATGCCCAATTATACTCACTTTTTTGTTGTCCTGTTGAAGTTGGGCCTTAATTCAACAGTCTCATTGGTCCTAAAGTTCTCCCCGATCGTCTGTTAAACTCATCCCTTCTTTTTTGCCTTTCCTTTATTTGACTCTATTCAAATTAAACCCTGCAAGAGTGGACAAATTGCAACAACCTGGTGTGTTGCAAATATTACATCATCACGTAGCCACTTACAAATGCAGCACTTTCACTTACCTCCCGCCCACTTTTCGTGTTGAAGTTCGGTTTTATTATCTAGACCAGGCTAAATTAAATCCATTAGAATACTTTACTTGCATCGGTTTGTAGGACCAAATTGTACCACGCAAGCACTGGGAGGCGGTGATAGTGAACATCGTGAACATCCACATCTCCGTTAAGGAGGCCTCAGTGGAGTTCAAGCAACAGCTGCGACGCGACAACTACGTCACCGCCACCAACTACATCGGCTTCATTGAAGGCTACAGAAAACTGCTTAGGGAGAAAACAGAGTAGGTGACGTCGAAAGACAAGTAGAGGGAATCAAAATTAGTTTTCATTACTGTGTAATCTTATTTGTGTTAATTGTATTGAGTCGATGTGAACAATGGCAGTCTACATAGGACCTCCGATGTCCATCCGATAGCTTCCAAACGGTTAATTTGTATGTGCTTCTACAAAACCTATTTTCAATTGATCAGGGATTACAATTGGGATAGCTCCAGGTAACGAACATAGACAACTGTCTCAACATTAAGACTGTTGAAGACTAGGTAATACCAACGCCTGGATTAACATCTGCTTTAAGAGCATATAAAAGGTAATTTCTAATGGATTCCCATTAGAATACGTACAAAAACTCCCTTGCTTGCAGAGAAAACGAAGCAAGCCAGGACCGATTGAAGGTGGGTTTGGAGAAGTTGAAGGAGACGGCGAAACAAATCGACGAGTTGAACACCAAAATGGCAATCCAGAAGGTGGTGCTGGAAGAGAAGACGTTGTCATGCGAGGAGTTGATGAGGGAGATTGAGGAGTCTACTAAGGCTGCCACCATCAAAAAGACGGAGGCTCAGGCCAAATCCATCGAAGTTGCAGCACAGCAGAAGGTCATCACAAAGGAGAAGGTCTGCCTTCTTATCTGATCGTTTTCGTTCTCTGTTAATTAGCTGATTAAGTTATCCCGTTGGCAACCGGTATCGCCACCTTACCACTGCCTGTCCCTCCTGCTCACCTTTCTTTACTTCATTTCTCCTCGATTTAGTAGGCTCTGCCTCAATGGTGAACTTCCACTGCCCTACCTGTCTGTAATCCGTCCTGGCTATTCCGCTATGCCCACCATACTTATTTTGATTTCCACGAAAACATTTTGTTTTCTTCTCTGCAATTGGTGCGCTTTAATTCTTCATGGGTAATCATGGAAGTTTTGGCGGTTCACCCGCTTGCCTGACTATTCACTTGGCTTTCGCTCAGGCATCAGCCTGTACATCTCCCCTTACGTTTCTCGTTACCTCTGTCTTGCTTCCTTACTAAAAAGCCATACTTGCCTCACCTATCCTCATCCGTTCTCACCCAACTGAACTCATGGATTTCCTTCACATTCTTTCGGAAGAAAAATTTCAAAACTATTTAATTGTTCATACTCCCCACTTATAACGCCTCGCTGATGCAGCTGGAAATTGTCATCCGAAACGCTCCCTGGAGGTTCTACAATTTGTTGCTAATACATCTTTCTACTTCCTCTTTTTCATTACAATAGTTAGCCATAAGTTTGTCCCTCAGCTCTGTATTTTTTTAATGCCTCCTTCATTTAAAATAACTCTCAAGAGTGCTTAAACCGGACTCATTATTTTGAATAGTTGTAAAGGGCTGAAAGCACTTCCTACCTTTCCTTTAAGGGCGAAGCCGAGGATGCCTTAGCCGAGGCCCTACCAGCATTGGAAGCTGCAAAAAGGGCTCTGGATGAGTTGGAAAAAGCTGATGTCACTGAATTCCGTGCCTTTGCAACTCCACCCAAACCAGTAAGTTGCTTACATAATCATCATTTTTATGCCCATTAAGTGTTACCTTCCATAAATCTGCACGTACCTCAGATGTTAGCTGCATTTTAGCATTCCAGAGTTTATTGTTTAGACGTATCTGGTTTGGCTGTGGAGCAAAATCGCAATCAACGTATACATTTTGAAAGGTGCTAGTCAGCCAAGCTCTGTATTGAGACGATTAGAGCCATGTTGTCCCCGGTGGATGTCTAATGGAGAAGACCAAAAGTGCTTTTCTCACTGATGAGAACGTTAAACCAGTGATGGTATCCTCACTTATTTCCATTGGGAGTTGAAGCACTCCAAGGAGGTCTAAAGCATTTTTAAGTGAAAGCAATAAATAAAGGCGGGGTGATGGACACGGAATAGATGGATGAGTGGATTGTCGACCTTTTGTCTGCAGTGATAAGCTCCAAATCTCATACCTTCACAGGTTCAACTTGTGGGAGAGTGTCTTTGTCATGTAATGTCGGCAGCAGAAATAAGCTGGAAGTCGGCTCGTGGTCTAATGGCTGATGCCAATTTCATTGGTACTCTGCAGACTATGGACTGTGAAGCGATTCCTCAAAGAAATATTAACGCTATCAAAGGTGAGCCTTCTCTCCTCGTGTCACCTTCCCCAACCTATCCACCATCCATCCACGTAAACGGATGTCCTGGAAATTCTTGCCGCATACCATCTACATCGATAAAATGTCTTACTTCGACACATTCTGTTTCAAGTCCCTTCTTCCATTGCCTTACCTTATTCATGCTTTGCTCAGGAACACTTCATTCCTCCGCATTACTAGCCTCGAGGCTAAATGCCACATTGGAATCAATTACACTACTTGTAACAGGCATGCACCATGCAGATAGGAAGTCTAAGAAACAGGTGGAAAGCTATGCAGAAAAGAAATGATTGCTGATGCTAATGGATGGATCTTTCTTAATCAGACCTCATCTCCAAACGCGGCATTGGTTACGAGGAGGTGCGAGCAGCCAGCAAGGCAGGTGGTGGTTTCTTCAAGTTCATCCTCTCTGTGGTGGGATTTTATGACGTGGCAAAGATGATTCGTCCAAAACGCGAACGAGTGAAGGCTTTGGAGCGCGAGTTGGCCAAAGCCGTGCGCGAATTGCAGATGTTGACGGATCAAGTGAATCAACTTGAGGATATGCTGCTTAATTTGCGACGTCAATTTGCTGAAGCACAAAGTGAGATGGACCGATTACGGAATGAGATGAATATAATGCTGAGGCAGCTATTGGCTGCTGAAAAACTGACCACAGGTCTGGCGTCGGAAAAAATTCGGTAAGACGTCTTGCAATCTTGGGTTTTGATACCCACAATCGTATTAGTAATGGATTCAATTCAACGTGTGATACGACTGGATGCATCTTCCTTGTTTAGGTGGATTGAGACAGTTGCTGCCCTTCAACATGGCAAAAAAAAGCTGATGGGCCACTGTCTCCTGGCCTCCGCTTTTCTCAGTTACTTAGGTCCCTTCACTCAGGAGTTCCGAACACGTCTGCTGTACAAGGAGTGGTTTGATAATCTCGTTAATGATGATGTGAGGTTCTACTCCATTATTTGCGTCTCTTCCTTCTTGCTTCCCTCCAATATAAGTTTCCTTCGATTTGCACCACAGATCCCCATGACAGAGGGCTTCAAGGTTGACGAGTTGCTTACCACTGAAGTGGAAATTTCCACTTGGAATTCTCAGGGCTTGCCGCCAGACGAGCTGAGCATTCAGAATGCTATTCTCACTACAAAAGGTCTCAAAACACCCGTGTGCATTGACCCTCAAGGACAAGCCACAAATTGGCTTCGTGTGATGGAGCACAATCATCGAGATGAGACGCGTTCCATCAAAGTGGGTTGAATGTCTCTTCTGGGTTTTAAATATTTTGAGAACTTGAGAATGAAGAATTACTGGCATCCACTCATTGCTCCATAAAGACACCAAACGCTCTTTGTAGATCACCACACTGAACGATCCAATGTTTCTTCGGACTTTGGAGAATTGCATCAAATTTGGAGTTGCAATTATGTTTACTTCTGTTGAAGAGAGCATCGACCCCGTGCTGAACAACATTCTAAGCCGAGACATCCGAAGTAAGTGCATCGGCATCGTCGCCTTAGCAACCCGCATTAACTTACTCCATTAGGTGCTCTATTCTTTTGAATAGAGTGAAGAGTAACTGCTGATCGTTGTCCTTTCTGTCGCCTCTAGAGGACCGAGGTAGGGAAGTAGTGATGCTAGGAGACCGAGAGGTGGAGTATGATCAAGGCTTCCGTCTCTACATGACCACAAAGCTACCCAACCCACGCTTTTCGCCGAACCTCTTTAGCCATGCCTGCATCATAAACTATACTGTCACACCCATCGGTCTTGAGGGCCAACTCCTCTCCGCTCTGGTGAAGTATGAGCAGAAGGAATTGGAAGACAAACGCGAATATCTCATCAAATCTACAAGGTAGGGCTTTTTCCTCGGCTTCCTCCTTCTTGCTACAAAAAAACTGTGCTTTCCTTGAGAGACTCCTCCTTTATTTCTAAAGTCTTAGGTGGCCTGTGTGCATTCATTAGGGCGTAAGTACACTATTCTACCCCTTTTTATTTTGACTCATGAATCCATGTTTGAGAGCGTAAAGGCTTCTCCAAGAAACCTTTCTCCTGCTCACCCTATCATGTTGCTAACAGTTTCAAATGATTGAAATTTCATCCACCACTTATTTTTAAAACCTCTGTGTTTGATCACCAAAGATGATATCACCACTTGTACTCCTTCCCGTCCTATCTGCAGTGAGAACAAGCGTATATTGAAGGAGTTGGAGGACCGATTACTGCTTGAACTGGCAACCCAAACGGGCAATATCCTTGATAATTGGGAGTTAATCGAGACGCTGGAGAAGACGAAGGCCAAGGCTGTGGAGGTGGGCAGAGCTCTCGAACAGGCCGCCGCCGTCTCCATTGATGTGGACAGACAGCGCAATGCTTATCGTCCAGCTGCTCGGTACTAACACTCTACTCACGTTTGAGAATGTCTGCTACCTTTAAATGTGAAACTAATTTCGTGGATGTTATGTTTTTTTTTCACCTTTTTTTAGTCGCGGAGCAATTCTCTTCTTCATAATCGCCGATCTGGCGATGGTGGATCCCATGTATCAATTCTCTCTCGCTGCCTTCCTACAGGTCTTTCTAAAGTCTCTCAAACGCGCTATGCCTAACAGTTCTTTGCCGCGAAGATTGGAAAATATCAAATCCACTCTCACTTTTCTTGTCTTCTCCTATGGTTGTACTGGTGAGTTTCATACGTCCACCACATCCACTGGATTGCCACATTTGAGGCATGTTAGTTCGTTTGTTCGTGCATCAAGCATCTACCCAATCGTTCATACTTCCGGTCAGCTACGCCTTTCTGATCCACTCATCCAATTCTCTTATGTTCATGCATACCTCTGTTTCACACTACTTTATTTAAGACCCCTCCTAATCAGTAGCATTTAAATTACAAACCAAAATGGCGGAAATTTGAGCCACTTAGCTTTTCATATAGGAGTGTGCTTTGCCATGCCTGGTAAGAAAGACATCCATACAATCATTCATCTCGAATTCGTTGAATCATGTAACCATTTGCCTGAGATCAATTTGACCATCTGATTTCAGACTCACTCATCCCCCAAGTAATGAACTGCTGCATTATTTGATCTATTGGAACAGCAATAGCGTCTCTTTTTTCATTTTTTTTCAGCCATCTTTGAGGAGCACAAACTTCTCCTGTCCTTTCAATTGGCCATCCGTTTACAGCAAGACGCAAAGAAGCTCCGTCTGAAGGAGTTGAACTACTTCATTCGTGGCAATCTCTGTCTCACGGATGAGTACTTTTCTCCACCCCACCCGTGGATTCCGCCGGCTGCATGGCGAGATTGCCTCTACTTGTCCACGTTTTTACCGAAGAAGTTTGGAAAGCTTCCTGAGAGTGTAGTTAAACATCCGGAGGTGTGGAAAGAGGTATTTAGTTGTTTAAAACCTGAGCCTTGATGTGAAAACCCTTATTCATATTTGATGTTAGACAATAGTTGATCGAGGTTAAGTTACTCACAAATAGCACTGACACAATCACAAAACTAAAACATTTATTTCCACTTTGGCGACCTATGATACTGAAAACGCGGGGATGAATTATGCGAACTGAGGCAGATTTCTAAGCTACTACTACTGCTGCTTGCATCATCTCTAATAAGTAGCATGTGTTTGGGTAGTGGTATGAATCGGAGGCACCGGAGATGGGGAGGCTGCCAGGGAGGTACGATAAACTCGCGGCGTTTTCACGCCTTTGCTTGGTTCGCACATGGCGCATTGACAGGGTGCCCTCAGCAATCTCGCTCTTCATCAATGCCACAATGGGGCATAGCTACGTGGCGCCACCAATGACCCTGCTCAATGAGGTTCTCGTATCGACCTCACCTACAATCCCCATCGTGCTCATTGTCAAGCCTGGGTCTGATCCACCCGCTGCACTCACAACCCTGGCACTCAGCGTTGACTTTGGAATGAACAAGATCAAGTACCTGTCGTTGGGGCAGGGTCAAGAGGCGGTAAGAAAAGAGTTTGTACTTTGATGTGGCTAGAGAGAGTGATTTTGAGACTGCATCATTTACCATCATGATTACTTATTTTTGGTAGGGCTGTCAACTTCATAACCACAAACTTAAGCATTAAGCAGTGATTTTCATTTGATTTAAACTAGGCAGCAGAAAGTCTCTTCTCCAGTTGCATGGCAAGAGGCCACTGGCTGGTATTTCAGAACTGCCACCTCCTACTCTCTTACACATCGAAATTGGAGAAGATGCTTGAAAGTGCAATGAATCCGCATCCCGACTTTCGTCTTTGGCTCACTACAGAACCGGTTACCACTTTCCCTGTTGGCCTACTTCAAATCGCCTATAAGGTTGGCACAACCTTCCCCTATAAAAGCACACTTTGATGTTCTGTTTCCTCCGCCTTGTAGGTGGTAATGGAACCACCAAGTGGACTTCGTCAAAACATTATAGGGTCACTGAACAAGCTTGATGAAACTCAATTTGTGGCCTGTTCACACCCCAAGTACCGCTCTATTATGTTTGTCCTGGTCTTCCTTCACGGGATTTTGCAAGAGCGTCGACGCTACGGGAAACTCGGATGGAACGTTCCATACGATTTTGCCGATGCCGACCTCCTTGTCTCACTACTTATTCTGCAGAAATCTCTTAACGAGACTGAAGAAAGTGAAGCGATCAAGTGGCCGAGCATTAAGTACCTGATTGGCGAGGTAGCCAACCTTTTTGCGTAGGCACGAGCTTCACTTTTGCTTAGGTAATGTATGGAGGACGGACAATTGATAACTATGATAGGCGTGTATTGAAAACCTACATGGATGAGTACTTTGGCGACTTCCTATTCGACGAGTTTCAACCTTTTCACTTCTATTATGATGACACTGTGAACTACATGATCCCCGGTGAACCAGATGGGACGATTGATTTTCGTGACAACTTCCTATGTAAGTAGTTTTGATTCCAAATCATTTTTGATAGTGTTTTGTCCCTAGTAAATTGTGGATCAAGGAAATTTACCAACTTTTCTTCCTTTTTCATGCCAATTTGTGCATGTTCTTGATGGGATTATTAGGAAGTAGAAATCATTCTGCGCTCCGATATGATTTGTCCTTATTATTTGCATAACCAAGTAGGAAGTGAGCTTTGTAGACTTCAAAAGGACTCGATCAATGATAAAGAGTGCAGTGCTTGTTGGCATTCTGCGTCCAGACCGATATCATGCTTTCCAACGCAAACAACTTGTCGACTTTCATCCAGCTTATCCCCTTTATCCCTCCTCTCTTTCGCTTTGGCTCCTCATTCCACTCACCATTGGCTTCCACCCCTGCTAGCCCCTCCGTATCCTCAACCCTCAAAGTCGATGGCAATGGCATATTGTTTGTCTTTCTTTACCATTTCCTCCTGCTTCAGATATTAGGTAAGACAGCAGCTGCTCTCACCGTTAGCGTTGTTGTTCTCGTGAATGGGGCTAATTCTGCAGCTTTACCAATTGACATTTGGCTTGTTATGCACATTTAAGTTTCTACACCTCAGTTTGGCCGTCGGAATGAATGCAACGTTACTTGGTAATGAAGCAGTAAACTAGTTAGAATGGTTATTTTATTCACAGCAACGGTGAATGTGTGGCCTGTGAATCAAAAGCCTAACGTCTTTGGCCTTCATCCCAACACTGCAATCGGCTACGCAGCACGGTTTGCACGCAGCCTTTGGGCAAACCTGCAGAACCTACTGCCTGAAACGGATAATGTGGCAGGTATTCCGGATGCAGCTGCGCTATCGCATACTGCCGTTGGTGTTGGTGAGCTCCTTAGGGAAATAGAGAAGGCTGCTAAGGAGGAGGCAAGAGCAGCAGAGCAGCTGCAAACAACAGAGGCAGAGGAGGGTCGGGAAAGGCCGCCAACACCGCCACAACCCGGAATAGAAAGAAGGAAAAAAAAACGAAGAACCAAACAACTGAGCATTCCTCCCTTGGAGACAGGTGTATCACTAGTTGAAGGCGAAGCTGAAGAGGAAGGGGAAGGGGAAGAAGGAGGAGAAGAAGCTGAGTGGGTGGAGGTAGAAGGAGAGGAAGAGGAGTGGGGTTTGGAGGACGAAGAAATGGAAACTGAAGAATCTTCAATGACCACACCAGAGGATGACAGTGAAGATGTAAGTCACTTGTTCTCTCCGCAACTGATTGCTGCATGATTTAACATTAATCCCTTTTGGTCCAAAAGTTGCATACTCTTGCCTTTCCAGGCAAAGCATAAAATCTCTGATGTATTGTTATCCATTTTTATACTCTCTTATCACAGTAAAGCCCTATTTGATTGAAATGCTGGCGTCGAATACTTACTTGACTTCATTGTTCCGTGGATGCCTTTAGAACACCACAACAGCTGAGGAGGAAGAGGAAGAGGTAGCATTAGGAGCGGCTAAGAAGCCAAACGCATCCTCCGCAACGACAACCACCATGGGCGGAGGAATAATGTCCAAAGACGCTGTGTTAGATGCCATGGCGACGAGTATTTTGTCCCGCCTTCCAATGCCCTTCGACGTGATTAGTTTGCGCAAGAAGCACATGGTGGGAGAGATCTCGCCCACCCTCGTAGTGCTCATCCAGGAGGTGGATCGCTTCAATCTCATCCTTAGGGAGATGCGCTCCTCGCTTCGCGAGCTACAACGTGCAATTGCCGGTGAGGTGGGGATGTCCGCAGAAATGGACGATGTGGCTGCCTGCTTGGGGAGGGGTAGCATTCCTTTCTCTTGGAGGAGGCTTGTTCCAGCTACAGAGAAGAGCCTCGCAGAATGGCTGCAACAGCTATTACAAAGGCACGAACAGTACAGGAACTGGGTAGGTGATCGATGGGAGCATTAGTGTTCCTTTGAGTATTAAACGTTCCTACTTGCAGAAGTTTGAATGTGAATGGCTCTGAATTAAATGAGTAGAAAAGTTTTATCCTTGCCTCCCATGCCACCGTCTAGCATGTCGACGCATTTTTCCATTTTAGTCTAATGGGGGTAGAAGCGAGCCTCCGGTGATGTGGCTCTCAGGTCTCCACCTTCCCCAGTCCTACCTCACGGCACTTGTGCAAAAGGCCTGTCGGAAAAATGGGTGGGCTTTGGACAAGTGTACCATGTCTACCTCTGTAACCGACACTCTTCCTGCCGATATCTCCTCCATCCTCATGGCACCCGATGTCGGTTGCAATGTGGTTGGCCTCTACCTCGAAGGATCTGGTTGGAGTGTTGAGGTCAGTTTACTTACTTTTTGGCTTGTAGCTGAGGAAGCTAGCAAACTGCAGTACTGATTCATCTCCTCTTTGGTTCGATGTTATATGAAGCCTCAGTTACTCACAGGCACATTGAAACTATACCTGTTTTGGTGCCTTCTTTCAGGAGCACAGCATGGTCCACCAATCGCCACGAATGCTGATACAGGAGTTGCCGGTGATTCGTCTTACACCCATCGAGCGTCACAAACTTAAGCTGACGGGTACCGTAGAGGTGCCTGTCTACGTGACAAGCTCGCGGCGCAATGCCATGGGCGAGGGCTATGTCACCAAGTTAGACATGCCCACCAACGAACACAATTCCTTTTGGATACTCGAAGGAGCTTGCATCATTCTTAACACTGATTGACCAATCTACTGGATGTTCATGACTATCTGTGCCCATGTGTTTATCCTCACCTTGTTACTAAATAAAGAATGTCAAATCGTCGTGCGCAGTCCCGAGAGTATGGGACTTGGAGCTCACGCAACTCTGAGTAGACTGGCAGTACCAAAAATCTTAAGGCTATGCACAACTCGACGGTGTTATTACAATTTTACTTGACAGATCAGGCAAATTAGCATGGAGGACAAAATTAGCCTCCTTTCCATCAGCGTTTGCCAGGTGTATCATTAAAAATCGGGTGCTTATAACAATGTTTTGATATAAAAATATCCGTGTGTTCGGATTAATCATTGATTTATGCGATTAATATGTTTTGGCTAAAACATCATTTTATCCTTGATACGACTTAAAATCTTTTAATCAGCTAAATCCTACGCTAAAACCTCTCTCGCACTTTTGACTTGTTGGAGGACTGGCGACATGCACTTCAACGAAAACAGATGGGAAGTTGAGCTCCATATTCACTTGGATGGCAGTTTTCGACCATCCACTGTGTATAGATATGCAAAGAAGAAGGGTATCCATGTACCTGGATCAAATGCAGAGGAATTTGGGGCCAAACTAATAGTTCAACGACCAAACTCTCTCAACTCATTTTTAAAAACATTCGACTACATCGTTCCGCCAATTGCTGGTGACAAGGTGATGTTTCGTAAACGTCTGCTTTGTCCCAAATAATTTTGCCTTTGATATGGTCGTTTTTTGGTTTAATAGGAGGCCATCAATCAAGTTACACTGGATTTCGTTGAAGACTGCGTTAAAAGAGGTGGCCACTGCTATGTTGAACCCCGATTCGCACCTCATCTCCTTTCTGGAGGCAAGCTGAGTGCTGAGGAAGTCACTAAGACGGTTCTTGATGCGCTGGAACGCGGTGGTGCAAATCACGAACTCCAGTGGCGCCTCATTCTCTGCATGATGCGAGGCAACCCTGAGTGGTCTGATGAGATTGTTGATATTGCTAAGAAATTCCAGCCCTGTGGTGTTGTCGCCGTCGATGTTGCCGGTTAGTTGCCCCTGTTTAGAACATTTAACACAAATAGTACCAAGTAAATTTCGGCAGTCTTAATGTCTGGTCCCACCTTTTGGACATGAGTCATGCTTAGGATGTCACTTGACAAAACTACTGGGCGCTGTTTGAACAACAATGGTGTGCTATTTTAATCTATTTTTTGTCCGTCCACGTCTCTCAAATGCAATTGATTGATTGTTTCCAAGCTGGGACCGTTTGATAGATAAAGCAACAGCCGGACATTGCTTCCTTACTGTACTGCGCTTGAATCCCATCTTTTTAGCTTAACTTGCCAATGGTGGAGGGTCATAAAACATCTTGGTTTTTCATCATTCCTACTATCATGAATCGTTCATGGTCACCTTTAGTAGTGGATTCTCACTTTTCACACACCAGAACTCATTTCCCAAAAATACACACCCTCAGCCCCATTTTATAACATTTGAAAAAGTTATCATTTTTCTTTATTGATTACCAACTAATGATATTTTCCCTGCACAAAACATTAACCACCTTTAATGTCTGAACCAACTATCATTATATTTTGCTACCTTAGTCCTGCAGCTACTCTCTGTCTAATAGAAACAATGGTCTAGTGGGTGAATTTTCCACTCATTCTTGCTGTATTTTCCCACTTTTCTAGTGTACCTTTTGTTGTGACACGCTTGGGGTCATCTGGACAGCGTCTGGACTCACTGATATTTTGCTACGTCTGCCGCACAATTGTGTTCTTTTAAGCTTTGGTGGTGCGTGGTTTGGTCTGAGTGATAGAACACAGGATCAAATTATCGTTGGCATCAGCAACTCTACTGTCATGACGGGTTATAAGCCAAAATTATTTTCTTCCCCTCCCCCGTTGGCATTAGGCAAGAACCACTGTTTAGCTCAGTTTCTAGAAACTATTGACAGTGGGAAGCTGGTTTTTCAGAATTTGAATGCCACTTTTAACTTTATGATCATTCATTTTTATGGTACTTACTGCGGCAGGGAACTTCCATGGTAACTTTTCAATAAATTGAGCTTCTATTTGCACTGCACCATAGGCTTCCTTAATTGCGGATACTTCACTCTTGATTATGGGCCCAACCATGGTTACCACTGGTTACTTTTATGTTCCCTTCGCGCCTGCTTTCTCTTCTCAACAATACCCTCGCTTGTGGTGTTTGTAATAACCGTAGTATTCTTAGTAGTGTGTGCTGAACCACTGCAACTAGTTAGTAGCTTTTGATGCTGCCGCCACTTATTTACTTAATTACACCTTTGTTGTGACAAGGATGTGAATCGTTTTTTCTCGATGCGATTATGTGCCAGTGTGGTGTCGTACAACAACATATGCATTGGTGATGTCAAAACAACACCTGTCATGTCTAGTTGCAGCATAATTTAAACATGTACGCATAGATCTATTAGTCTTAGTGTCCTACTAGATATTATTCAACATGAAGGAACTTGAGAAGCTATCACACGTGGTAGGATTTCACCTCACAACCAAGCCGAAAGTGCCCTTTGAAGTGAGTTCAAGAAACCTGCCAACGATGCCTCAATTAGCTGGCTCCATCACAGTCCATGACTTTCTACACTTGGTAGTCTTCTATAAGCTAATGCAATTAACATTTTCACATAGACGCTGCCATTAATTTGTGTTGTCAGCTCAACGAGAAGGTTGAGGTATCAACCACTCATGTCATCAGAGGTAAGCTAAGCAGGCAGAAGGTAGAGTATCAAGCTTATTCCTTGTGCTATTTTCACACAGCTCAGTTTCTGCAAACAATCTCGTCCATAAGATCCCCACTTACGTAGTGTTGAATTCTCGTTCAATGAGTTTTAAGGATATTCGTCATCAGAGATATGGTTTCAGAAATTTTGATAGGCACTACTTCGTGGTATTTGAGCTTCTTTGTATGACGCATTTGCATGATCCATTCATGATTTGTCAGTCCAGTAGTTTAGGACATTTCCGAAAGTGGATAAACACCTGATTATTGGACATAATTAGGATTGACTGACAAAAATAATCTTCTGAAACATAGCACATCGTGAGAAATAATGCGTCGAGGTTGTGTTGACTAGCATTCCGTTATGAATGCACGTTTGCGATGGTATGGAGCATATTTTTTTCATTCTAAAATAGCCAGGGAATCGCGTTTCACTGTTCTAATCACGCATTTTGGGCTCTATTGTCAAAACATATTGTCGACTAAGTTCACACTTTCGATTGGTTGGAGCCACGTTGGTGTGAGGCCCACTTCTTCGACATTGTCTGAGCCTCAATGTGGACGAGGTTAGATTTCCATCCGGGAGGGATTTAGGAGTGCGTTTTCAGGTGTTTGATTTTATGCTGTTAAGACTGATAATCTGCGATCGCCATTTTGTAATGCCAGATGTTGGGTACAATCGTTTGTATATCACTCAAACGTAGGCGGATTTTCCAATCGTGATGTAATTCTCGTCCATCGTGCGATCTGTAGCTTCATTAGCAGTGGATATTTGAATTGATGAATGCCGCGATTATTTGCTAGAAAACATTGTTGTAGGAGGGTTCTGTGTTTCTGTTTTGTCTTAAGTAGAATAATAAATGGAATCCTTGGATGAGTTTGAGTTTGATGCATTTAAGTTCTGCCGATATAGATGTTTGCCTTTTGAGAGGGTCTATTTGTCTAGCAGTATGACGACATTCGCATGTAACTTTGTGTCAATATTAAAGAAAGAAATAGTAGGCAGTGCATTATTTGTAAGAGTTGAGCAATTGCATGGTTCGTTGGATAGACCTCCTTCAGGGTCACTGGTTTGGTGGCTGAATCGCGGGCGGGTGTTAGGGCGTGTGGGTTGACGATGTGCACATGCATAAGCATTTCGTTTTGTGATGCAAGGCGTGAAGACACGCCAAATTTAATACCGATTTCAATCCCTGTTTGCTGAGTGATCACCGCCATGGTCCCGTAGACCACTAGTTACTGAGAGACTGAAGTAGTTAAATGTCTCGAGTCATTTTCTTGTGGTAAGATTGGAGTTAATGAAATTGGTTGATCTCTTACATCACATTTCCAGGTGATGACGGTCCATGCGATGGGACGAACACAGACCCTCGAATAAAGAAGGCTTTTAAGAAGGCCAAGGAGGAGGGTCTGCACTGCATAGCTCATGCGGGCGAGAATGGACCAGCAGCCTCAGTTACTGAGGCCGTCCACGAGATGTTCGCAGAGCGAATCGGCCACGGCTATCACATATTAGACGATTCAGCAGTTTACAGAGACATGCGCGAAAGAAATATTCACTTCGAGGTGGGTTTTATTCAGAAATTTTTGTTATCCTCATCAGCGAATGTATAGCACTGATCTGGTTTGATATTATTCTCCATTTTACTAACATTTTTACAACAATGTTCTCATAAAAGGATCTCCTCTCGTTGGAGCCCGTAATCCGTTAGTCTGAAGGTTATTCTTGAATTGATAACTCTCCACCTTCCCATGTATGATTGCAGTGAGGGAAATGGACTAAAAAGCTTGAAACCATCATAACAGCAAAACGGATGTGATGCATAGAGCAGGTGACTGACCGCACGATTTTACACGTCTCATTCTCATGATAGGAGCGAAGCTAAAATCACATGCATTATAACGCACTTCCATTGCCTGCTGGCAAACAAGCGCTCAATACGGCTATTGTGTTGCGATGTTCTTCTATGGTCTTTGCGGAATGCATTTTGCATAGTTTCAACGAAATCATCAGGGTGTGGCCTCCCAATGCTCTTGTCTGCCTTGGCGTGGTGATATCATTACTGTACTTTTAATGGGTGGTTCCGCAGCGAAGGAGAATGTTCACAACAAAACATAATTCTACGCACGCATTAGTGTGGGTTCTCCACCACCGGCTTCTCTGGATAATGGTCAGACTTTGGGATCGGTACAAACTTACCTCAAACCTCGACTGATTAGGTGATTCATTTTCAACTTCCGAAAGGTGTGTCCGCTATCCAGCAAACTGACTGGCTCAACTCCTAGTGACTGGGCCTCGCACCCAATCACCCGCTTTGAAGCTGACAAGGTCAACTACTCCATTTCCACTGATGATCCCACAGTGACAGGTCAGTGGTTGCAGGCGGAGAAACGTATGCTGGCCATGAACACGGTGCTGGAAGGAGAACAATTCCACTTGGCAAATCTACGGGCTGCCGAGGCCTGCTTCCTAGAACCTGAAGACAAGGCCGCTTTGGTTCAACACCTCAAAGATCATGCTCCTTTCTTCTAAGGGCCACTTCCGTCTCATCTCTCCTGCACTTCTTCAGCTTCTAGCTGCTTGTCTTTTCGCACAATAGCCTAATGAACGTACCTCATTAAAACCTCTTTAATTTCAAGTTGTCTTTTGCCGGTCTGCAATGAGAATGGGGTATTTGTTGTGTGTTGCTCCACTTGTCTGTCCATGGTTCTACTAAGTTCTGAGGAATTAAATTATCGAAGAGTTATGGAAGATTGGGAAGGAGGAGCCCTTTATGTTTATGACTTTCTGGAGTCATTCTAGTCGAGGGCACTTTCGTGTGTGAATTGGGGGACGTTCGTGGAGATGCTTCCGAGTAGTGATATGTTACGTCGATTTCCTTTTACTGCCATAAGCGCTGCAATTCACCATGTCGGAAACTAGTATCTTCAAAAGAAAATTCATGTTATGGAGTGAAAGTGAGACGACTCGTGCACAACACTCAGTTTCTCACTGCTTAAGGGAAATTTGCAATCTGGAGCGTTGGGATATGCCAGATCATCCAAATCACTCTGAGTCTTAGGATCACTAAGTTGTAGCGGCGAAACACATCACGCCGAGATCGTATCAACACAATCGCTGACCTCAAAATGTATCACGAGCTGAAGATCAAATAAAACGTCTATGGACCTCTTTGCATCGCAAATTAGACGTGTGCGTGAGCACAAGTTGTACCACATGGACTTGTCACCCTTATTTCGTAAAGCATCTGCCGATTCCTAAAATTGACAGGAGGTTGCATGTTTACGCACTGTCAAGGCAGCACCTATCCTCAGATGGTAAAGAGAGGTTTACGTCCAAAAGCGAGCTCATGCAGTTCACATTGTCAGTTATAGTAAACAGCTCTTCCCAGCTTTAAAATCAACTGCCAACGAGATTGACTTGAAAGTGTTTTGATGAAAATAATGGAGTAGTTGGTGAGGAAAAGTACCCAGAAGCGAGCATCCACTTACATTCACCCGTTTCGATGCGAACTTGATCCGCACCCAGTTTTTTAATTTCTGTAGACATTATCCTTCATGACCCCGTCCCATACGTACTGATTCCTTTAAACTACGAGTCCGCAATCGTGGGACTTTTGGGGGGGG